GTTTATGTATACGTCAGAAACAATTTTAACCCGATTATTAACTAAACCTCACCAAAAAAAGAGTAGCAATTCCAATTCTAGAAGTAAAAATATGTGATTGCAGAGAGGAAGGAGGCTGTTTCTGAACTTTTCTTCATAAGAGACAACAGAAGTTGTCCTAGTGAGCCCCAAAGACACACACGTGAGCATCCGTGTGTGAGAGCCCCTCCAGTGGAAACAGCATTAGGGAGAGCTGAAACCACATGAAACACCAGAGAACAAAGTTGTGACAGCTAATGTGGAGGAAACCAGTACACGCAAATGTGGGTTTTTTTCACTGTAGGGTTCAGACTGTGTGCCCTTTACAGATAATTTCCCCTATTCTGAACTGCACATGTTTGCAAACTGGGAGCCTGAGCACTCACATGTGTGATCAAACCTATCACAGCCAGTGACAGCAATAAAGGTTTATTCTCACCAAGTTTTGTTTCTAAGCTGGTCGTATTTGCGTGGCCTCTTTGTGGATGAACTGTGCTGCAAAAGCATCTTTGCTCCTTCTCCAAAGCCAGAAGAAAATTGTGTTTTTTGCTGGAAAAGAAAGTGAAAGGGGCTATTGGGTTATTAGTAAGCCTTTCTTTGAGACCCAGAATCACAGAATATCTGGAAGGGACCCATAAGGATCATCCTTCCCTACCCCTGAGCTATAAGTATTTTCATTTCCTCCTGAGTAGAAAAGAGGGGCAAATAAAGATTTTGTTTAGACCCACACATTCCTCCTACCTTCATTCTGCAGTAACAATTAAGGACTCACCTCATTTACCTGAGCAGTTCTTACTCATCTGTATGGCACAAGAATGGAATTCTGCAGAGTAAGTCTCATAGTTCGACACTCCACAGGAAGATTAAACATTCTACAGAAGGAAGGAGGATTTTTCAGAAAGGCTTCAAAGCTGCCTCGGTCATGTATCTGTCAAAAAAGTCTAAACAAAAGCATCCCTTTTCCATGATATCTTGTCCAAAAAATCTTCCCGGCTACACAACAATAAGTATAGATAACCACAATTAAACAAGGGAGTACCATTTACTGACTCAATTGCCTGAATAGCCCTTTGTTAGGAGCTGTGTGAAACCTGCCAGTTAGATTAATCAATAATTTTGAAAATCAACAGAATGGGCAGAAATATAAAGTAATTGTATGTATTACTGCACCAGGAAAATCATGATTCTGTAATATGTGGCATTGTTTAAGTGAGTCTTACACAGCCACACAAGTAATGTTTTACTGCAGATATCTTTAACGTTAATCCATAACGTAACTAGCTGCAGCAAGACAGAGGGGGAAAAAACCCCACCCAGTTTGTAGCTATCCTGTATCTCAGACAGGGTGATAACATAACATATGCTTTAAAATGATAAAGACTTCCAAGAATAACATGCAGTTTCCAGAAAAATATTCATACACACACAAACAAAAGCAAAATCCTGTAATAATTGAATAATTGCAGCTTTCTGTAACCAAGAAAAAGTTAAAGGGGAAAAAAAAATCCATCCCGAACCAGCCCTTTTCAGTGGCTTAGCCGGTCAACACTTTTATACACAAAGCCTAGTGCTCTTCCCTAAAACCTAAGAATTAATCAGCATTATGTAAGAGATTTTTATAACACTCTAAAAATACATTGTGAATTCCTTTCTAATGGTTTGAGAAGCTTTAAAGTACTGCCACCCCTTATCCCCTTTTTTACCATAGATTGGATCTTCATTTCTGGATACTGGAAACGTAAATTTTGTCTCAATACTTGTGCCTCAAATCTCATTAATTACAGTGTTGGCCTCATGAGATACAACTGCTGCTGCTGAGAACAGTGTTTGTGCTCAGAACGACTGGAGCAAGGGCAGGGACACACAGATATTATACGAGTATCCACACTTTGAGAAAGAACTAATGACACATCAAACTTGGTAACACTGTTTGGGTGGTTTTTGTTTATTTACCTGCTTACTAAGCAAACTTTTGCATTCACATGATGAGATTTTGTTCATATGATACTGGTAGATGATACTCCACGATATAATTCCTCCAAAGGCAATGGTAACATCAGCCGGGCAAACCCACAGCAGTGCCCGGCAAGCACCTTATTCCTTTTTGTGCTCTGGTTTTCATATGCATAATAAATAACTGTTAGCACTATTTCTGCATTTTTCCACTGAAGGATCTCTAAGCAAAATTACAAAGTCATCATCTGAATTTTAATGGTAGCTTGGGAAGCAGACTTGTAAAGAGAAGTTTTACCAGCCTTACTGGGAATGGGGCCATCCTAATCCTGTCTCAGCGTCCAGCCCTGCCCTCCTGAAGTTCTTCCTGCTCTGCCCCAGATCACATCTTGATCTGCGAGCACACAAGTAATTTGGGGTCCTTCAGACCAAAATAAATCACAGGAATGCAAATAAATCACATGAAAAACGGGAACAAAGCATTTTTAGCTGTGCTGCATATCGAGAGAACATTAACAGCTCTCTCACTATCACAAACTTCTCCCCTTCCAAGGCTGACAGAACACAGATACAGCCATCTTCTCAAAATACACCCCCCCTCCGAACCACAAATAAATCAACCAAAGCTATTGAGGTAAACAAAACAAGAGATTTCGACGATTGTCCCACCCAGGAAGGTCCGGGAAGGATTTCGCCAGTTATCAGCCTGGTGTGAAAGCCCTGCTAAAACCATGGCTCAGGATGTCAGCATAAAGCATTGAACAGGAGATACTCATCATATCTGATGGGGTGATAATGGTTCTTCCCCAAACGCAAGCAAATATTCAGATGGAAACTGTACTCTGGATTATGATGATCTGTACTAGTGTCATTTACCTCCGTAGTTTGACCAAGGATATCCACACTCACTCTTTTCCTTCCCTCACCAAATCTCCTTTTCTATGTCTTACCCACAACCCAAGTCTTTTCTTTGTTTTATGCCCTGGTTCTTTCCTTTGCACCATTTTCTGCTGCCCATGTTCACTCTGAATGCCATCAGCCTCATGTCCAACCTAAACTCCACGGCACAACACATGTAAGCATTATTCTGTCTAAATCAGGCCAAAACTCCTCCTTTCGGTTCACGTTTCATTAACTTCTCATATTCTCTTCCTCGTCTTTTCCCACTTTTATCACCCAACTTCCTCGTGCGTTGTGCTTGTGCTTTGCTTCCTCATTTCCTCATCCTTCGTTTCCTCTGTGAGCTTTTCCTACCCTTCCATTCACTCCTTCCCCTCTCTTTTTCTGTTTTCCCTCTTTCTCCTCACACCACAACCCACTGTTGCCACCTTGTTCGTTGTTCTTCCCCTGGTCTTGTCAGTGTAATTTGGGAGCAGGAGCCTTGATCCCACCAGGGTGGCTGATGTCAGCCTAATTTACTTCTCTCCCTAGACTCACTCCAACCACTCTCTCCCACTGTTAATAAAAAAAATATAAAAAAATTAGATATAAGCCTAAGACAACCAACTTTGGCACAAAATGGGATTTGCTGTGGTGTGCTTTAATCTGATGAATTATTGTGGTGGGTTGCAACAGCACAGACATCCCACAGAACCCACACCGTGTAGGGAACTGCTACAAGCACCTCGGATTCTCCAGCCTCTCTTGTTCCTTCACGTTGTCTCTGCTGACATCGCTAGTTTGTTCCAGTCGCTCATCAATACTTCTATTTCTCCCCCTTCCCCCCCAGTTTCACCTCACCAACCATTCCCTTCGCTCTGGCAGCTCAAAATCCAGAGGATTTTTTTTTTCCCCTTGCAGCTCCGGCAATGATAAACAGATGCTGGTGGTCCACGTCTGGCACAACTTCCCTCCTCCAATCTTGATTGGGGTTTTTTGTGGCGCTAGTTGCCTGTGACCTTTGCCTGCCCACAGGACGCGGAGATGGGCACATTTACAATCTGACCCGACCTGAGAAAGGGCTTGGCATTAAACACTAAAACATTAAATCACTAAAAGCCCCCTCCAAGAATTATGCACGTGAGTGGGTTTACAAGGTTAGTCGCACTTTAAACATAAGCAGGTATCAAAATCCGCAAAATTTGGGACTGCGGTTTAGGAGGAAGACAAAAAAAAAAATCAGGCAATAAATGGCCCCAGTGCCTGCTCCCTTCCTACCACCTCCTGTGAGCACGCAATTATTGCGATGTAACTCTAAAAAAAAAAAAAAACCAAAAAAAACAAAAAACAAAGCATTTCCTTGAATTTTCTTTAGAGACCGTGGGGCAGTTTTGGTTTTTTTTTTTTTTACTTTTTTCTTTTTTAAGCCTCTCTAAAAAGCCACGCTGCTTTGGTTCAGGAAACGTTTCCTCCCCAGCTCCAGCCGCCTAAGGCCGGTCCCGGCACTCGCCTCTCATCGCAAAGGAGGAAGGTCCCTCCCCCGGTGGGGGAATAGGGGGACCCTCGGTAGGGTGGGACCCGCTGTGGCGGGGGACCGTCGGGGAGAGGGGACCCTCGGGGCTGTGTCTGGCCGGGGTGGGGGGGTCCCCGTGGGGGCTGAGGGCAGATCATAGGGGGGGCAGGAGGGGGCAGGGGGTGCCCCTGCCCTCGTGGGGGGGCAGGGGGCGGTCGAGGGGTCTCGGTGCGCGGCTGGGAGGCCGCGGACACAGGGCTGGCAGTGAGTCCGGTCCGCAGTTTGCGTCTCTCCTTGGCGCTCCCCCATCGGCGGCGGCAGCGGCGGCGGCAGCGGCGGCGGGCGGGCGGCCGGCGCCGGGAACAGCCGGTTGTTTAAAAATCCTTCTAGAACCGTTTCTAATTCCCCCTTGCGCCGGGGAGAGGCGGCGAGAGCTGCGCGGAGCAGGGGCGGGGGGGGCCGGGGGCGGGGCGGGGGGCCCGCTCGGCCCCTCCGTGCGCCCCGTCCATCACGGCGCCGGGGGCGGGCCCGGCCAATGGCGCGCGCGAGTGGCGCGGTCGCCGTGGCGACGGGGCCGGTCCCGGGGAGGCGGTGATGGGTTGACAGGTGCGTGACAGTCGGGAGCTTCTCCGCAGGCATGTACGGCAAAGGCAAGAGCAACAGCAGCGTCCCGTCCGACAGCCAGGCCAGGGAGAAGTGAGTACACGCCCCGCACGAACCCCCGCGCAAACCCCGCGCAAACCCCGCGCAAACCCCCGCGCACCCCACAACTAAACTTTGCGGCGCAGCCCCTCCTCCCTCAACCCCCTCGGGCCGGACCCCACGGAGTGCGGGGGCAGCACCCGTGCTCGGGGGTCCCAGCGCTGCGGGGTCGCGGAGCGCCCCGTTCAAGGTGGTCCCGCGGGGGTCCCCGCCGCCCCATCGCCGGCCCCGCAAGGTGCGGGACAGCCCCGCTAACAAAGAGCCCCGCGTGGGGGGCTGCGGGTCCCGCCGCGTCTCAACTCGCCGCCTCGCAACTTTTGGCCGTCCCCGCATTGTCGACGCCCGGGGAACTCCGCACACACAAAGGGGGTGCGGGCATCGGGGGTGCCTTGGCGCGACCCCTGGCCTGGGTCCGACCGGGCCCCGCCGCCTGACAAAACTACTGTTAGTATTATTATCGTTATTATTATTCTTTATTTGTAATCGCGCTTAAAACCCCCCCATCCGAACCGCGCTCTGGGAGCTCCGTCCCCGCCGCCTGCGGGGATCCCGACGGAGAGTGCTGGGGATGCCCCCGCCCCGCGAGGGAACTGGGGGAAGACCGCGTTTTCCGGAATGGACGGCGCTCCTCGAGTTGTCCTGTAGTGGCAGCGACTTGGCGTGACCGGGGCTGGTTTGCCACCGCGGTGGAGGGGTAGGAAGAGCCCCTGCCAGGAGGAGAAGGAGGGGGACGAAGTGTGTCGGAGGTGAGAAGGTCGGGGACAGGCCGCTGGGGGGGGTCCAGAGGTGCAAACCTCCGTCGAGAGGCCGGGTTTGCACCTTTCTGGTCCGAAAATCGCATCGCTCCGGAGGTGGCTCAGCACTGGGATCTGCGCTCCGGGCACGGCCGATGAGTTTCCCTTCAGGCAATTTGTCCTGAACCTTTACCTAAAAGTTTTTTTGTTGTTGTTGTTAGTTGATTTGTTGTTTTTGTTGTTTGAGGGTTTTTTTTAGTTAGTTTTTTGTTTTGTTTTGTTTTTTAATGCTGGGTTGGTTCTTTTAGTCGATGGGTTGTTTTTTTTCGTTAAGGGACTTCCTAGTTCCAGAGGCTGGCATGCACGCTTCCTGGAACAGGAACAGGCCGGGCATCTCTTTTGCTGCAGAAGAGGGAGATGGTAGGGGAAATTTAAAGTGTCAATTTCGCACTTAACTTTGCCATTGGAAAGCGGAGAGAGGAAGAGGCCGCACTGGTGAAGCGTTAGTTGCTGAGATAGAGAGGGAGACACAACTTGGGCACTAAAAACTGATCAACTAGTGGCGCTTCTTACTCCCAGTGTAGGGATAATTTTAAAAATAATTGCTTAAAAATAATTACTTAACTGGCTAGTGGAAGAGTTGTTTGTTTGGTTTTACAAAATTAGCGAATTAAACCATTTCCTTGTGCTGCTTGTTTGCTTATGTTTGTTAATACACTTGGTAAATCACTGAAGGGCACAGTGGGACCTCACAGTGGGACTAAAACCAAATGCATAGGGCTGTTGTGTATTGGATCAGATGAGGATCATGTCCTTTTAATTCTGCTCTGCAAAAACTTCCTAATACCAGCCACATACACAAATGCTCCGGTCGTGGGGCTGAAGGTTCAACTGTTTTCAGTCTAATTCTTTCACTGCAGCTGATTTTTCTTAAAGGTTTTTGGTGTCCTAGAGCACATAATATTGCACGTGGTGTGAAAATGCTTAATAATCTTCAGGGCGAGCTTGCTAAACTGACTTACTGCCAAGTAGCAACTGCCCTCCTAAGTAAAGTTGTGGGGGACCTGCTAGGTGGTGCTGTTCGATTTAAATACACGTTGTCTCTCATTCGTAGCTAACAACTGGAAATGTGGATTCTTCACGTGTAGATTATTTTATGCAAAACACTGGAATGGTTTGTTTTTACACCATGGACTTGACAGATAAGAAGCTTCACGGTACCATCTACTTAAAAATGAACACAGCTGGGAATTCAGAAACATCCTCTTCCCCCCTTTTCCTTTAGCGAAACAAACAAAAGAAAAGATAAAAAAAGCTTTAAGACTTGGTTTATGGTGGGAATATCATTATATAGTCAACATTTCAGATTTTTATTGTATTACATCTATTAAAGTTTCTTTTTAGTAGGTCAGATCACATCCTGGCTATTTTCATATGCTTTCTTTCTGACATCAAAAAAGCTGTGATTGCATTTTTTTTTCCTCTTACTACACTGTTTTGCAGCCATGCAATGCTTGTCCCAAGGTAATGCGTGAGTTTTTGCTGTGCTCAAAAAAAAAAAGGTTGCCTTCCAATTAAATATCTCTACAAAAATACAGCACCAACTTCTGCATAAGATTGTTTTAATTTGTAAACCACAGAGAAAAATATGTATGTTTGACTGATTCATTAAGTACTTATTTAATCAAGAAGAGAGGGATTATAATTATGTTTAATTTCCAAGTTTTTTAGAACAGAATATGCAACTTAAGGCTAGTGTGTCTCCTCAAGCTTGTAAGTATCTAAAATTTGTAGCCAGTAATGTATCTCCAAAATACACTTGAAATAACTAAGGAAATAATTTTTTTAAAATATTACACTACCTCAGGTTTTGCACAGCCTGATTGTGTGGAACATATTTATTCCCCATGAGGATGTGTGCCAGTGACAGGACTAGGGTGTGAAAAGAGTATTTATCAAGTGTGGAAAAGATGTGTGTTCAGATGTTGTTTGCAATATTTTTTGTGATGTATTTTACAGAACAATCCAGTGCCAAATATGTTTTGTAGTATGTACATCTCGCTGTATTCTGTCTTTAGTATTTATGTGCTTTGAGGTTATGTAATTGCTAATAAAATGAAGCAAGTTTTGCCAGTCATTTATAGTAGCCCTTGGCAAACTTTCAGTTCCAACATGGCTTTGTTTCATGGGCTTTCTCTTTGTCCCTTCTGCTTGGTCTCTGGGGCAAATTGTCTATATTATGTAGCTTAACAACGTGTGAAGTGTAGATGAATTTACGGAAAAAAAAACCCCTAATTCTTTGCCAGGGAGGTACAGCCACAGCACAGTAGGGGAGCACGAGAAATGAGGGCACACAGTACCTGTGAGGCATGAAAAGATGAAGAGACAAAAATCACAAGAGTCTTTGTGCCCCTTCCTCTCATTCAGTGCCTTAATTTTGGGCTCAGGCCTCCCTGTTGCATAAAGGATGGAATAGTTGTTTTAAACAGTAGTTCTTCACCACTGTGAGGGCGCCATATAAGACCCATCTACACTGTCAAAGGGAAAAAGCCCTAGAAGTTTTCTACACATCATCTTTTGTTATCTCTTCACAGCAACTGGATATACTTTTTTATTTTTATTATTTGTCCTTATTCCTTAAAATGGGACTGTTTCAGATTAGGAGGTTGGACCTACTGACATTTCATTGAATGATGAAACTCTGTAAACTTCTAATCTTGGAGAAAGGAGGACCAGACCTTACAGGTTCCATTTGCAAATGCAACTCTCTGTTTATATATAAATAATAATATTTCAATTTGAAAACATATATGCAGAAAAGTAGTTCAGAGGAACATATAAGGCAAAACTAAGTTCTGACTGAATTCTGTGTTTTGAGTTAAGTTGTCTTGATCTTCCAGTGGTCTTCTAAACTAGTTCTTTTCCCAGGATGCCCTTAACCTTACTAGGGCTTAGCAGACACAGATTTTGGTTAAAAAATAAAAGGATGACTAGTCACTATGATTTAATTGGTTATAAAAGGAGATGTGATCAAAATGTTGGTTCTCCTCAAACCTGTTTTGGGTGGTTGGCTCTTTGGACATACAGCTCTTTATATGAGTGATGTTGTTTGCTGGGGTGGGGGGGGAGGGCGTTTAATGTTTTTTTGGGTTTTTTTGTTGGTTGTTTTTTTTTTCCCTTCAGATTAGGAAAGACTGCATCGCATGAGTTTACATAGTTAAGTTACTTTTTTCCCACTAATGTTTATAGGCTGCAAAGAAAAAGTAAGGTACAGATAAAAATTAAGTGATAAATTTGTTGCTCTTTTCTACGAAATGGTGAGCTTCAGGTTCAGATGCTAAAAGACACATTATCTTTCCCCCCCCCCCCCCTTTGAAAACGAAACTAGTAGTTTAATCCAGCCTGTTTTAGAAAGTTTAGGTTTGACATTTATACAATGATTTCATCCATCAGGTCTAACTTGCAAAAGTTGCAGTTGTACTGCTCAGGGAGTCTGTGAACAGAACACTTCTTGTCATTTTAGAGGAATATACTTTTTAATGAAGTACACAGAAGGGAAGGTTCTGGAAAGAGTAACTATTTGTCAGTACTTATTCTTGACCATAGTGCTTCAGGTGCTCTGTAATACTGCGCAGGTATCTTGGGCAGCACGTCAAGGTGTTTCGGATAATGTGTGTGCTGCAGTTCAGACCACTGACAATAACAGCCTTTGCCTTGGAGGTCAAACAGTACCCAGAAACTATTAATTTTACTTAAATATTGAGGTAGTCAAAGAAGATTTTCATAACTTTGCCGAACTTTCACTGGTTGGGGGGAAAATTTATAATGGCATACCTAAGCCTTGTGTTAGTTTATTTAATTTGTGTGTAAAAGTTCCGTTGAAATGTGGCTTGCTTTAAAAATTAGGCAGAGAAAAAAACGTGTTTCCTGGTGTTTTAAAAGTTTTTGCAACTTTTAGCATGTGCCCCTCTCCTTGAAGTGTAGTTGAAAAAGGATGAGGGATTTGATTCCAGGGATGTGTCTTCCATTTGCATGACAAAGCATCTGTATTTTGCCAGGATACAAGTCTTTTCAAAAAGATGCATTTGCATATGCTTAGGGTTTACTAACTGTAATCTCTGAATATTTTATCTTTCCTGAGAGCGAAGCAGATACCAGCATCAGAGGGGAGAAAAACTGGGAATGGGCAGATACTGGGATTACAGGAGAGAAAAGCTGGGACTGGGACTGCGACTGGGTAGATACTGGGATCAGAGGGAA